CGAGGCACGAGCATGAGCACGAGGAGAGGACGAGGACGGAGAGACGAAGGCGGAAGGATTTACCGTGAGCTGCTCCTGCGGCGGAGGCGGAGGAAGCGGAGAGACAAGGCACGGTCAGAGCCCCCCCTTCCCCGGTACCTCCGACCCCCCCCAGGTCAGGGGGGACCCTCGGGGCAGCCCCACCTCCGGGAGGTGGTCGGGGTCTGCTCCGGGTTTACTCCCGTGTTACTCAGGGGCTGCTGGGTCTCGTGGGAGATGCTCAGCCCAGCCTTGGAGGCTGCTCAGTTACTCAGGGGATGCTCAAACTTTACCCCGGGGATGCTCAGCCTTTACTCAGCGGATTCTCTCCCTTGACTCAGAGGATTCTCCCCCTTTATTCAGGGGATTTTCCCCCTTTACTCAGAGGATTCTCCCCCTTGACTCAGAGTATTCTCCCCCTTGACTCAGAGGATTTTCCCCCTTTACTCAGAGGATTCTCCCCCTTTGCTCAGAGGATTCTCCCCCTTTGCTCAGGGGATTCTCCCCCTTTATTTGGGGGATTTTCCCCCTTTACTCAGAGTATTCTCCCCCTTTACTCGGGGGATTCTCGCTCCCCCAGGAGTCACTCGCCCCTTCCTAGCGGGTTCCTCCTCCTTCCCTGCCACACCGACACGGGGACGGTGACAGGACGACACAGACGCGGTGACAAAGCGACAACAGAGCGCAGGCAGCGGCACAGACCCCACCGGGGGCACGGGGGGGCACTGGGGGGGCACTCACGTGAAGGCAAAGGCCACCAGTGCCCCGCTGACCACAATGAAATCCAGAATGTTCCACAGGTCCCGGAAATAGGAACCTTGGTGAAGCACCAGCCCCAGATCCACCATCTGCAGGGGGGCAGCGAGGTTTGGGGGGTGGGGGCAAGGGGTCAGGGGGCTGCAGGGGGGGCTCCCTCGCCCTGCAGACCCCTCCGCATGCTCACCTTGATCACCATCTCGAAGGTGAAGACCCCCGTGAAGACGTAATCAAAGTAACGCAGCACCTGGGGGTGGGGGGGGGGGCAAAGCTGGGACTGGACCCCACAGAGCCCCCCAAAGCTCCCCCCAGCACCCCCCTAGAGCCCCCCAGAGCCCCCCCGGCAGCACTCATTCTCTCAGAGCCAGCACACCCTGCCTGCAGAGCCCCCCCATTTTATTTAGGACTTCTTTTTGGGTCCCCCCGCCCCATCGGTGGCAGAAAAGGGGAGGGGGTGGGGGTCTCACATTGTTGCGGGGGGCGTTGGGCTGCACGGGGTCCTCGGCCGCCAGCGCGATGCTGCTCATGGCGATGACCATGAGGATGCACATCTCGAAGTAGCGCAGGTTCACGATGTAGTGGCACAGCCGCCGGAACCTGCCGAGGACAGGACCCCCCCCCGGTTAGGGCAGGACCCCCCCCAAACCTATTCCCAGGCCCTGCTGCTCACTCCCAGTGCTCCCAGTGTGACCTCCCCCAGCACCCCAGTACCCCCCAGAGCCACCCCAGTACAGCCCCATAGCCCCCCCCAGTACCCCCCGCGCCCTCCCAGCTCACGGGTTGGTGGTGGAGAGGATGAACATGGAGCTGTAGGGCACCATGGGCTTGGGGCCGTTCTCGTCCTGCCCGTCGCCTTCCTCCTCCTTCTTCTCCTCCTCCTCCTTGCGGGGCAGCGGCTCGGGGTTGGCGTTCCTGTTCACTGCGGGGGGGACAGCGCCCTCAGGGACCCCCACCCCCGAGCCCCCTGATCCCCCGAATCCCCCTGATCCCCTAAACCCCACCCCAAATCCCCCTGACCCCCTCATCCTCTAAACTGCCCCGTACTCCCCGCATGTCCCAGACCCCCCCAGACCCTGTCAGATCCTTCCAGAATGCCTCCAGACCCCCTCAAACCCTCCCAGACACCCCCAGACCCTTCCAGACCACCCCAGACACCCCCAG